GGTCAGCGCCTTCAGGCCAGCTTGCCTCGGCACATCCGCCCGGCTCTCAGCCGCCCGGGGCTTTTTTTCTTTCAAGGTGGCAGTGGCAGCAGGAAAAAGTATTTACTTATTTATTTACTCCATTTATACTCCGCCTATCTGGTCACTGAGAGCACTCAGGAGGCGAAGGAGGCAGGCTGTGGGGCCAAAGGGTTCCTAGCAGGGTCTAGCCACAGAGACTCGGACTCCTTTGCACCCCCTAAACATTTTGCACCCGGGGCGGCTGCCCCTGTGGGCCCCCCCTCACAGGCTACGCCATTGCATGAGACCTGTAAAGGCTTCTGTGGTTTCATACACCCAGAATCCGTCCCTTTATGGCCACCTCTCCCCTGAAAAGCCACGTCTCTCATCGTGGTTCAGCATCAGCTCCACCATAGCTCCACTCCGCGGCGTCCCCCCACCAGCTCTGAGCCCTCCTGGATTGTCGCGACTGCCACCTCCTCCTACGTCACCACAAGAGATGACAGGTCACGATCCTTCACACACACACACACACACAACTTCGCTGCCACCAACCACACATAAACCTGACACTTCAGACTTAGTATGGATTTCAAAATAAAAATGATGATTTATTGAATACAAACATAAAATGGAAATCACTGAGTAAAAGAATCACTTGTCCCACTATATTTCTCAGACCTTAACCCTGCAGTTCTTTGTTAATTAACACTCAATTACTCAATTACCTAACCTATATCTAACCCTCTCACTCTCCAACTCTCTAATTCCCCAACAACCTTTTCCCTCTTTGCACACCCCCTTATATACAAAAACTCCACCCCTTTAAGACCCACCTCCTGCCCTGCCATAGGCTAGGAAACTCCAGCCTTAGCCAAGACAGGCAGGTGACATCATGGCACACGTCACATGGATCATTATGCAAATTGCTGGTTGCCCACCAGCCCTTCCCAACTCTTGAGGGACATTCATTTTCTTGCCCTCTTTTCTGTCCTGTCCTCCTGCAGCTGAGTGCAACGGAGCCTAGACAACCTTCTTCCTCAGACCCACTAGCTGGCATCACCAGCTTTCCCCTCCCTTCTGGCCTGTGCCCCCCAACTGATTCGGGAGCTATTGAGACTGTCAGTCCAGAGGCCTCTGACTCTTTGGGGCATGGCCTCCCAGCCTCCCTGCTGAAACTCAAGACACCTGGCAGGCCACGGAATGAGCAGCCCTTGCCCACCAACCCAAAGATTCCACAGGAAGAACCTCGGCCATTCCCTTCCGTGGGGTCAGACCCCTGGCATCCCTCGAGACCAGTGCCTTCAACTGGGTCTGGTAGGGTTGGTCCTGACCCTTAGCTTCCTTCCATGAATTTGTGAACTGCCTTGAGCACTGTATTTGGGTGGGAAAGCAGGGTATAAATGTAATAAAGAAATCAATATTTAACTAGGCCTGGCTGCTAAGTTTCAAAATCAGAGAGGCCTGTTCCAAACAGTCCCAGAGAAGCCCTCGGATGATTTTTAGGGCCATCACGTCGACCTGCATATTTTCTGTTTCTGTTCAGCCAGCTTGGGATGAAACGGAGGGCCTGTTGTGGCTCAGCATGGACCACGTTGCACCCGTGGCCCAGCGGTCTCCATCGGATTCTAAGGCTGACCTTATTTTCCCCTCTTTCTCTTTTTTCTTCTTCCCCTCCCCTGCTTTCTAGTTTATTGAAACTGCATCGAGGAAACGTTATCTCCCCCTCCTGCTTGGTGGACGCCAAGATGCAGAGCATCAAGTGTGTGGTGGTGGGCGACGGGGCGGTGGGCAAGACCTGCCTCCTGATCTCCTACACCACCAACGCCTTTCCGACTGAGCACATCCCCACCGTCTTCGACAACTACAGCGCCCAGAACACGGTGGATGGCAGGACTGTGAATCTGAATTTATGGGACACTGCGGGGCAGGAGGAGTATGACCGCCTGCGGACGCTCTCATACCCCCAGACCAACGTCTTCATCATCTGCTTCTCCATCACCAGCCCATGCTCTTATGAGAATGTGAAACACAAGTGGTACCCAGAAATCTGCCACCACTGCCCGGATGTGCCCATCCTCTTGGTGGGCACCAAGAAGGACCTAAGAAACAACCCAGAGGCCCTGAAGAAGCTCAAGGAGCAGAACCAGCAGCCTGTGACAACCCAGCAAGGCGTTGCCCTCTCCAAACAGATCCACGCGGTCAAATACATGGAGTGCTCGGCCCTAAACCAGGAGGGGATCAAGGACGTCTTCACAGAGGCCGTCCGAGCTGTCCTCAACCCGGCCCCGGCCAAACCCAAAAAGCCCTGCTTCCTGCTGTGAATGGAGGCCCCCCACTTTCCACTGTCCAATGGGGAGCCCTTGGATGGGTCAGCTGCAGAAGGCCTCCGGAGAGAGTGGGAGACCTGTCTGCTCCATCCTCTGGCCCTGATCCCCCCCCCTGCTGTATTTTTCCTGCCTAGGCTTTGCTGTCCTCCTTCTGAGGAAGAGCCACTTCCTTGGGATCACCCAGCAAAGGTGGCGAGGAAGGAAAGTCCCCTTTGGGCATGAACAGAAGCCCCCCCCTGCTCTGAGAGAGCCCGTCTTTGCTCAGGCAAAGCCTTTCCGTGGGCTTCTCCCAACCTCATCATGTCCGGCCGGTCCCTCAAGACAGAAGGGCTCTGAGGAGGGGCAAGGGGAAAGGGACACCTGGAGGGAGTGAGGAAAAGAGGACCCAAGCCATGCATCTCTTCCCAAGCACATGGCCTGTTCTGTCCTTCCAGGGGTTTCTCCAGCCCCAGGAGGCACCAGCTGTTTCCAACCCCCGGGGCTGGTGTTGACCCTCAGGGCAGATGCTCTGCTTCCTCCCTTTTCCAGAGGACGTTCTCTCCCTGAGAACAAGGAGCCACTTCCCCGGCTATGGCCACCTCGACTGCCAGCACCCTTCCCTGCACTTGCATGAGGTGTGTGTGCATGGAGGGGGAAATCTTCCAAGACTGGTAGAAACGGACTCCCAAAGGTCCAGCCTTTTGTCGAGGATGTTTGGGGTTCCGTGTGTGCTTCATAGTTGAAGGAGAGTGGGAGGAAACCATCTCTGTTCTGTGGACTTTGCTTCCTTTTCCCTCATCCACTGAAATTTCAATGCCAGCCTCCTTCGGTTTCTGAGGGTCGAACCAGATGAAGGAGCACCTTATTCAAAGGAGACCTCCTTTAAGCAGCAAAAGACACCTGTTCCAGCGTGAGCTTCCCTCATCTCTCCATGCTGCAGATCAGAGTCTTTTTCTGTTTTGTGAGGGAAACGGGAACAACCTTTGCAAACCTGATTGCTTAGGCGTGGAGCTTTGAAGGAAGTACATCTTTGGAGGGACAAGGCGTTCTCGGGTTCTCATGGCCCAGTCTAGTTGGTGCCTGAGACCGGACTGAGCGCTGCGACTCCTTTGCGAGCCTTCGCTTCAAAGCCCTAGGGCCGAGGAAGCTGCCTGAAGGTGCGAAGGCCCAGATTCTCAGGTCTTGAGCACTTGGGCAGGTATCAAACCCTCTGCTTCAGACAACCGCGTCTCAGGGCATCCCCCCGACCTCTCTTTCCCCTGGTTCTGGGTCTGTAACTCATGCTGTGCGGAAGCCTTGTCGGCATCATAAGAATAAAGATTCAGTCCGACCCCCATCTCCTGTTTGTGGCTTTACTGGGGGCTTCCTGGGAGGGGAACTTTTGCGGGTCTGCCTGGGAAGGAGGAGCCCTGCCCCAGAGGCCGGAGCCGGTCCTTCCCTGCCTTCGGAGGAGGCGCCTGAGACCGGACTGAGCGCTGTGACTCCTTCGCGAGCCTTCGCTTCAAACCCGTAGGGCTGAGGACGGTGCCTGAAGGTGTGAAGGCCCAGATTCTCAGGTGTTGAGCACTCGGGCAGGTATCAAACCCTCTGCTTCAGACATCCACGTCTCAGGGCACACACACCCCCGACCTCTCCTTCCCCTGGTTCTGGGTCTGTAACTCATGTTGTACGGGAGCCTTGTCAACACCTTAAGAATAAAGATTCAGTCCGACCCCCATCTCCTGTTTGTGGCTTTACTGGGGGCTTCCTGGGAGGGGAACTTTTGCGGGTCTGCCTGGGAAGGAGGAGCCCTGCCCCAGAGGCCGGAGCCGGTCCTTCCCTGCCTTCGGAGGAGAGAACGTGGAGGAAGGGGAGAACCCAGGGGGCCCAGACCAAAGGCTTGTCCTGGGGTCCTGAAGGGTGCCAGGCTGGGGCCGCCTGACCTCATGTGCCCCCGCTGTAAACCGTCCTTTCCCTTCTCCTCTTGGAGCCCCGAGGCAGAGCTCAGCTGGTGTTTGGAGGAAAAGAGACAATGAACCTCCGGGGTGGTGGTGGTGGTGGGTTGGGAGAACACCTCAAGAAGAAAGCGACCCTCGGAGGGGTGCTTGTGCCCGGCCATTCTATTGATGTTTGCTGGCCCTGGCTGACCATTTGTCTTGGGGGAGGGAGTTTTGCAGAGCCCGGTCAGCAAATTGCTGCTCGAGCAGATCTGGAAGGAGTGGGTGGGTGCCGTCACTGAAAACACACAAACAAAAAAACCCACAAACGCCCCCATGGAGCACAGTCCTCCTTCCACACAGCACCCTTAGTTTCCTGAGGCATGCGCACAGAAGCACTGCAACTCGATCACATGCCATGGTGCCTGTGAGTGTCCCCTCTTCTCCTGAGCACATCTTAAAAACATGCAGGCAGCTGGCGAGACTTTGGGCAGAGGCAGGTCAGCCGAGCCTCTGTGGGTTCTGTGGGTTCTAGATTGCCCCAGCTGTCGGAGGGAGAAGGGCACCAGGCACAACGGCCAGGTGAAGGAGCGGAGAGCGGCCTTGGAGGAGCCCAGGAAGGCAGCTGAGGGGCAAGGAAAGATCCTCTCAGTGCAGAAGCCACGGGGCTTCCTGGGAGCTTTGCAGGAATGATGGCAGGGAAAGGCGTTAGGCGAAGACTCAGGAGGAACCGAGACCCTAAACGCAACCAAAGAGCATCTTTCAAATACCTGCCTAGCGAAAGGCACGAGATCCTTACGGGAAAAGGAGTACCAGATGTGTTGTTGTTTCGTTGTTTAGTCGTGCCCGACTCTTCATGACCCCAAGAACTAGAGCACGCCAGGCCCTCCTGTCTTCCACTGCCTCCCGGAGTTGTGTCAAATTCATGTCGGTTGCTTCGGTGACACTGTCCAACCATCTCATCCTCTGTCGTCCCCTTCTCCTCTTGCCTTCACACTTTCCTAACATCAAGGTCTTTTCCAGGGAGTCTTCGTTTCTCATGAGGTGGCCAAAGGATTGGAGCCTCAACTTCAGGATCTGTCCTTCCAGGGAGCACTCAGGGTTGATTTCCTTCAGAATGGAGAGGTTTGTTCTCCTTGCAGTCCAGGGGACTCTCAAGAGCCTCCTCCAGCACCACAATTCAAAGGCATCAATTCTTCGGCAGTTGGCCTTCTTTATGGTTCAGCTCTCACTTCCATACATCGCTACTGGAAAAACCATAGCTTTCGCTATGCGGACCTTTGTTGGCAAGGTGATGTCTCTGCTTTTTAAGATGTTATCGAGGTTTGTCATCGCTTTCCTCCCAAGAAGCAGGCGTCTTTTAATTTTATGGCTGCTGTCACCCTCTGCAGTGATCATGGAGCCCAAGAAAGTGAAATCTGTCACTG